GCCAAAGAGCCGGCATTGTCTGTAGACACCTCCAAGATCATGTGGCCAACATGACTGCATGGAGTGCCATTATCTTCCCATCGAAATGGTACTGTAACGGAATAACGAATTACAATGGAGGTTTTGCCTATGTTTATTAATGCTGATGTTATTACAAGGGCAGGCAAGACTTAGCTGCATCTGATTGGGTGATGCATCACTATGGTTGTGAAGCCTCTACAGTAGAAATGTATCCATTTTAGAGTGGCTAGCAGGAAAAAGGGGCAGAGCTAACTAGGAAGAAAAGAGGGGACATTTTAAAAATGAGTCAGTCTCTAGCCAGGGGAGCTACGGTGAAGAGGTTCCTAGTTTAAGTTTGAGTCTTCAGCTGTGACACTAAAGTAATAAAGGGACCATTTTGAATTAATCTCTAGTCTGTGCGCTAGAGGGAAGAAGTTCCTTGTATAGGATTATGCCTTCAATTGTGGTGCTGAAGTAATAGGAAACTAATTTGTGTCTAAGTCCTCAGTCAGATGGAACTGAGAGACAGAGAGTTCTTTGAGAAATAAGTCTGCAGTCAGACCATTGATTGAAAGAAGAAACTATAAGATATAAGTTATCCAGGCAAAAGGCAGAAGAGGAATTACATTTGAAAGAGAAGTTACTTAACCAAGTTGACATAAGTTAAACTGTTCTGAAAGTTATATAGTATCAGTTTTATGTATTCACAAGAGTAAAAGACAGATGTAACAATATCCACCAGCAACTGAAGAAAAGTACTGTGTAACAAATACGCTTTATGTGCACAATAGTTTATAAATAAACATATCTTTCAGTTCTTGTGGGTTTTTTCGGGCTATATGGCCATGTTCTAGAGGCATTTCTCCTGACGTTTCGCCTGCATCTATGGCAAGCTTCCTCAGAGGTCTGAGGAAGCTTGCCATAGATGCAGGCGAAACGTCAGGAGAAATGCCTCTAGAACATGGCCATATAGCCCGAAAAAACCCACAAGAACTGAGTGATTCCGGCCATGAAAGCCTTCGACAATACATTAAACATATCTTTGTTTCAACTAATATATTGAAGTCTCGGGTCAAGTTACAGGACTGAAGTTACATTCCTGGAAGTCAGCTGGAAATTATTTCAAAGCTAGATATTGTCTACAGTTACACTTCAAAGAGACCTATACAGACATTTAAAAATCAAACCCTGCAACAAACAAATATAAGAAAGGTGACACCAAGACGGAGATAATACAGGTCTAACATTTCAGGAATCAAAATGTGTGTTGGCCAGTGTAATGCAACAATTAAGATAATATATATAATAAATAATCGGTGAGTGTATCCAGGGTGGGCCAGAAGTCACAAAGAGGTCTCAACATTTAATAACTCATTTATTTTTGACCCCTGGTGGTCAACACGTGCCCGAGAAGCAACCCTGAACCAGCCAAAGGTCTTGCCTTGCACGCAGAAGCAAACTTGGGCACTCCAGGTGTTTTGGACTTCAACTTCCATCATTCCTAACAGCTTCAGGCCCCTTCCTCCCCCCCCCTCAGCCGCTTAAGGGCCATGAGGCTGTTAGGTATTGTGGGAGTTGAAGTCCAAAGCACCTGGAGGGCCAATGTTTGTCCAGGCCTGATGTATAGGCAGTCCCCAAGTTACAAACAAGGTAGCTTCTGCAGGTTTGTTCTTAAATTGAATTTGTATGTAAGTCGGAACAGGTAGATTTTTTTTAAAGTTTAACTCCAGCCAAACACTCACACACATATACACATACATACATACATAGTATATAAGTTTTGCAATGTATAGGGAAGGGTTACCCCCCTGTTTTGCTATGACCAGCAAGACTGGTCAAAAGGAGTACAACCTCCATCACTCCTTGCTAGATCGAGACGATGAGTTTTATAGTGTCTCACTGTCTTCCCTCTGGGTCAGGAAAGGCTTGGCAATTCCCTCTAAGCCTCCATTCCCAGAAGGAACTTGCCCAGCCGGCAACTCCCCTTTTTTTGGAGAGGGAGAACCTGGGTTGTTGTAGGTTTTTCGGGCTATGAGGCCATGTTCTAGAACAGTGGTTCTCAACCTGTGGGTCCCCAGTTGTTTTGGCCTACAACTCCCAGAAATCCTAGCCAGTTTACCAGCTGTTAGGATTTCTGGGAGTTGAGGACCAAAACATCTGGGGACCCACAGGCTGAGAATCACTGTTCTAGAAGCATTCTCTCCTGACGTTTCACCTGCATCTATACGGAGCCCCCGGTGGCGCAGTGAGTGTGCTGGCAGGACTGAAGACCGACAGGTCGCAGGTTCGAATCCGGGGAGAGGCGGATGAGTTCCCTCTATCAGCTCCAGCTCTTCATGCGGGGACATGAGAGAAGCCTCCCACAAGGATGATAAAAACATCAAATCATCCGGGCGTCTCCTGAGCAACGTCCTTGCAGACGACCAATTCTCTCACACCAGAAGCGACTTGCCGTTTCTCAAGTCGCTCCTGACATGACAAAAAAAAAACCCTGCATCTATGGCAGGCATCCTCAGAGGTTGTAAGGTTTGTTTGTTTTCGTGTCAGGAGCGCCTTGAGAAACTGCAAGTCGCATCTGGTGTGAGAGAATTGCCCGTCTGCAAGGAGGTTACTCAGGGGACGCCCGGATTTTGACGTTTTACCATCCTGTGGGAGTCTTCTCTCATGTCCCCGCATGGGGAGCTAGAGCTGACAGACGGGAGCTCACCCCGCTTTCCGGATTCGAACCGCCGACCTGTGATCAGCAGTCTTGCCGGCACAAGGGTTTAGCCCATTGCGCCACGGGGAGCCCTGTCGATACGGTGGGAGGGGAAGGGCTCGTTTCCGCCAGCAGAGAATCGCAACAGGAGCCCCTCCCCCCCCCCCCCCCCCCCAAATTCGGAGGTCAGCCTAAGCGGCATTCCCCGCAGATCTCTCTCTCCCCCCTTCCCCTTTTTCCACAGCAGAGAGAAGACGGAGCCCGGCAGCCATCCCCTCCCCCCGCGCGCCTTCTTTCCTCCTTGCTTGGGACCCCGGCGACCTAACCCTGCCTTTTGCAGGCCGAGGGCCCCAATCCCCGGAGCCTGAGCCGGGCCTCCCCTTGGCTCCGCTGCTGGAAGAGGGCGAGCAAAGACTGCATTGCCCGCTCGGCCCAGAAGGCGGGAGGGGGGGGGGGGCTCTCAGGACTCTTCCCTTCTCCTCTCCCTCGGCAAAGGCAGCAGAGACACACACACACACAACTCAGAAAGAGAGAGAGAGAGGAGCCAGGGGCGCGAGGGACTGCGGCAGGAAGCCCGGAAAGGGTTAAGCGGCGGGAGAGGCGCCGCCGAGTGAGTGAGGCTTCCCTCGCAGGTTGCCTCCGTCTGGGACGAGGGAGGAGGAGGAAGAGGAGAAGAAAGAGGAGGAGGAGGGAGCCGGTGCCTGCGCGCGGGAGAAGGAAACTTTCCTCGGATCTTTTCTGGGAGAAAGGAGGAAGAAGGGGAAGAAGGGGAGGCTCTGTTGCTTGGGGGCGGGGCCACTGCAGCGGACGGAGTGGGCTCCCCGCAGGGAGAGAGAGAGAGAGAGAGAGAGAGAGAGAGCAGCCCTCCAAGGGCGCCGGGGCTGAGCAGACCGGCTCTCCCTTCTCCCTTCCCCTTCCTTCCCTTTCCCCTTCTTCCTCCTCAGCTCTGAGAGCTCATCCTGCAAGCGAGAGGAGACTGGCGCTCCCTTCTTCCTTCCTTCCTCTTCCCTTCCCTTGCTTCCTCTCTTCCTCCTCAGTCCTGCACCAGCTTTCCCTTCTCCTTCACTCCCTCGCTCCCTCTCTTCCTCTTCAGCCCTGAGAGCACATCTTGCAAGTGAGAGGGGACCGGCTTTCCCTTCTCCCTCCCTTCTCTCTTCTCTCTTCTATTCCCTCGCTCCCTCTCTTCCTCCTCAGCCCCGAGAGTACATCCTGCAAGCGAGGGGCGACTGGCGTTCCCTTCTCCTTCTTTCCTTCCTTCCCTCTCTTCCTCCTCAGCCCCTCCTCCTGGGAGGGAGAGTGGGGTTCCTCAGCTGCCGTCCCCGGGAGGCGCGACCCTCTCTCGCTGCAGAGAAGAGCCTGGAAGCCTCTGGGAGAGGAGAGGAGTCCCTGCCGAGATGCCCGCACCCTTCTTTCCTTCCCAACCCGGCCTTGGGATGGACTCCCTTCTAGACTGGGAGAGATAGATTGAAACGTCCCGCTCTTTCCTCTCCCTCCCAGCCCGAAGCCCCTTCCTGCCGTCCCTTTGGCGGGATCCACAGGTAGCAGCAGGAGCAGCAGGAGCAGCGCAGATCCCTCTCAGGCCTGACGGGAGGAGCCCCGAGGCCGCAGGGCGCCCCTCCGCTCCCCCAGGATGCGTCCTCCGCCTCCGCTTGGCGCCCCGAGGAGGCCGGGTGAGCGGGCGGCGGGAGAGGCGCAAGCGAGGAGTCTCCCAGGAGGAGGAGGAGGAGGGCGAGGGCGGCGGCGGCGGGAAGGAGGAGCGGGTGAAGCCCGCCTTTTAAGCCCGCCGGCCGGCAAGAGCAAGAAGGGCCCCCTCGGCCTTGGGCTCGCTCGCTGCTGAGGCCTGAGGAGTGGGAAGCAAGGCCCGGAGGACCCAAGGCAGGGGGAACACCCGGAGTCTCTCTTCTCCAAGGAGAGTTCCCAAGCAAGCCTTTCCAGCCCCTCCTTGCTGGACCAGAGAACCGGGCACCCACCCAACAAGAAGACTTTGGGAGCATCTCTTTCCTTTATTTGTTGTGTTGGAGAAGTGAAGCCTCAGATGATCAAGGATCCTGCTTGGGAAGACTTTTTGGACCAGCTCTGTTTTCATTTTCTGTGAGTGTGAAGCCTCCGATTTTTTGAGAAACTGCAAGTCGCTTCTGGTGTGAGAGAGTTGGCAGTCTGCAAGGACGGATGTTTGATGTTTACCATCCTGGTGAGAGGCTTCTCTCATGTCCCCACATGGAGAGCTGGAGCTGACAAAAAGAGCTCAACCCACTCTCCTGCAATTCGAACCACTGACCTGTCAACCAGCAGTCCTGCTTAACCCATTGCACCACCGGGGCTCTTCAGAGCCTCCGATTATTTCAAGGAACCCAAAGTTGCACTTGGAACTGTCCATCTCCTGCTTCTCTTGTGACATTTGAGGCACCCCAAGGTCTCATGTAGCTGCCAGAGCTTTGCCCTGCCCTCCAAGGGATGTGGATGGGCGCCTTTGCTGGCTGGAGGCCTTGTGTACCTGGCTGAGCCCCTCCTGGTCTGTGGCGGAAAGAGAGGAGGTCCCAGGCCGTAGCCAGGAGTCGCCCCGCCCTGTGCCGGTGGGCCGTCTGGGAAAAAGCTCTAGAAGGATGCTGGCCGGATGGAGAGAGCTGTCTACAGGGATAAGTGCCATACTTTGCTGCCTCCTCTTCTTCTGGCTCCTCTATTCGCATCCAACCAAGGAAGGTAAGTTGCTTGTGCTTTTGGCCACAAATTGTAACATCTTGTAGACCTCAAGGGCCATCTAGTCCAGGTATGGGCAAACTTGGGCCCTCCAGGTATTTTGGACTCCAGCTCCCACCATTCCTAACAGCCTCAGTCCCCTTCCTTTTCCCTCTCAGCCACTTAAGTGGCTGAGAGGGGAAAGGAAGGGGACTGAGGCTGTTAGGAATGGTGGGAGCTGGAGTCCAAAACACCTGGAGGGCCCAAGTTTGTCCATACCTGATCTAGTCCATCACCCTGCCAGACAGGAACACACAAAGCACTCCTGAATCCAACATAGGTGGAGTTAGGCATTTTTTTATCTAACATCTGCATTCAGTTCAAGGTTGTGGAAGTAGAGTTGTGCATGTAAATGCACACTACTCAGGGATGTGAATTGCAACCACACTCTGTGGCTTATGGTCTCACAGAAAAGGAGCCTCACCACCACCACTCCTTCTCCAGCCATGCCAATTTTACCTCTAAGGCAATATGAGTGATCACACACTGGAACTGATCTCACCAGGAAGTTGGGATGCTTTAGGGTGGATTCCCTCCCTGCAGCGTCTATTCAGGCCTGGAGGGGGAATGTGTTGCTTGGGGAAAAGGGCAGGAATAAGTGGAGCACATCTGAATCACACCTGGGCATTTTGCCATAATTACCCCTCCTATATTTAGGCCAGAAAAGGGAGGGTGGAACGGGAAGGCTGTGCAGGAGTGCGGATTTGGGAATGGCTTGCATGCTATGGGGTCCAATACTCTTCCACTTGGGTAAATACCATAGAAGCACTGGATAAGCCTAATACTTCTCTAAGCCAAAGAGAAATGGACTGTGCTTGAGTTCCCACTGGCAGTACTTGAAACAAATGACATTTTTTTAAAAACAAAAGATGACAAATGTTAAGGAGGGGGGCAAAGGAATGTGGTCAGACTAAAATATTGCCCATTGACACATCAACATCTGGGCTACTCAGGGCCCTTCCACACAGCCCTATATCCCAGAATATCAAGGCAGAAAATCCCACAATATCTGCTTTGAACTGGGTTGTCTCTACCACACTCAGATAATGTGGGATTTTCTGCCTTGATATTCTGGGATATAGGGCTGTGTGGAAGGGCCTTGTGATACTTGGTTTACTCCAGCCTTCCCTAACCCAATTCCTTCTAAATGTGTTTGATTGCACCCTCCATAATCTTTGGGAATGATATGAGTTGTAGTCCAAACACATGAGAGAGCATATTTGAGAAACACTTAGGGCCCACAGGCACTCAGGTTGGATTAACCATGTAAACTGGAGGCAAGACTAGACACATCATCACACTAGAGAATGAATCCACTCTAAACCGGGTTTCTGCCTTCTGCAGAATTCTGGGTTTTGTAGTTTAGTGAGACTGTTAAAGGCTTCTCCCTAAACTACAAACCTCAGAATTCTGCAGGAGGCAGCGACCCCGTTTAAAGTGGATTAATTCTCTAGTGTGATGAGGTCCTTAGGCTGCGTAAAGATGACATATCTCCACATTTGCTCATTGACATTCTGATCCAAAGTTTTGCGCTATTACAAAGTAAATAAGTAATGAATGGATTTCCTGATTTTATTTAAGACACGGGATGAGAGAGAGAGAACAAGCAAAGGCAAGAGCAAAGGACTGGTGACATCACTTTCAACCAATCCCAGACCTTCTACCTCTGGGTCATTTTCAGGAGTTAAATTTTGTTTCATTATTTCATTGCCTACAGGTTTTTCTTTCTTTCTTCATATAGGGTTGTTTGAAAACTGTTATCTTCTACAGAGATCTGTGTGAATGAGACCCTTTGAGAGTAATGGGGCTTACAAGCAAAGGTACATTTGAGGCCCTTCCACACAGCCTATATCCCGGGATATCAAGGCAGAAAATCCCACATTATCAGAGTGTGGACTCAGATAACTCAATTCAAAGCATATATTGTGGGATTTTCTGTCTTGATGTTCTGGGATATAGGTCTGTGTGGAAGAGCCCTTGGATAACAAGTTTATCTGTATCAAGGTTCAGAATGTGATGGACTCTTAATTAGGGCAGAGAGGGACCCCTTGTAAATTCAATCATCCATGTTAAACAATTAAAAAGCATGACATTCAGAAGAAGGAGAAAGCTTTGAGAATCACCAAATGATATGGCTCACATATGGAAGTTGCAATCCAGGTGTTCAATGTATTGTCAAAGGCTTTCATGGCTGGAATCACTAAGTTCTTGTGGGGTTTTTTTCGGGCTATATGGCCATGTTCTAGAGGCATTTCTCCTGACATTTCGCCTGCATCTATGGCAAGCATCTATGGCAAGCACCCTCACCTCTGAAGATGCTTGCCATAGATGCAGGCGAAACGTCAGGAGAAATGCCTCTAGAACATGGCCATATAGCCCAAAAAAACCCACAAGAACTTAATCCAGGTGTTGTTGCCCAACCTATCTGGACAAGAACTATCACCAAGACCTAATCATGCAACAGAGTTATGGGGTTATATTCCACTTTAACTGCCATGACAACATCCTGGGGAATTTTGGAGCATGTAGTTAAGCCCCAGCTTCTGTCAATGCAGCAGTTCGAAGCATGCAAATGTGAGTAAATCAATAGGTACTGCTTTTGCAGGAAGGTAATGGTGCTCCATGCAGTCATGCCAGTCACATTACCTTGGAGGTGTTATAGACAACACTGGCTCTTCAGCTTGGAAATGGAGATGAGCACCACTTCCCAGAATCGGACACAATTAGCCTTAATGTCAGGGGAAATCTTTACCTTTACCTTAGTTTGCTGAGGCACAATCTGGTTTACAATTCCCTATACTGGAAATCCCAGGACTTCATGGGATGTTGCCATGGCAGTCAAAATGGAAAATGGTACAGTGATTGTGTAGTGTGAATGGGCCTCTGGTTAGAAAAGACTTCTGCACATACTAGCCTATGAATAAATCCTGTTTAATTCAGTGGGATTTACTTCTGAAGACACTTACAGTTGCCTGGGGAGTTTGCTTGCTTACTTGCACCACACACATTGTCTTTGCTACCTTGTTTATGGTGAGCAGATCACAGATACTGCATTGCTCAGGGCAATCATATTTCTGTTCTACAGAGGTATACCACTGGGATTTCTCCACAGTTGGCTCATTCGGGGTCCCCGGTGATTTTTGCATTACAGACTCCCCCTGAGGCTTATAGGCTAAACTTTCTCAGAAGGTTCCTTCCACCCAGACACCCAAGAAAGAAAAAACGATTTTCTCTGGAGACTTGCCAGTGGCTTGTTGCAGTCTTGGAACAGCAGTAGCATGTGGGAGGATGGCAGCATGATCCCATTTGACACATGGGAGCTTGGAGGATGGTTTGAGTCTTATGTATGCTGCTCAGTTGGGAAAAAAAGTCTTAAAAATTCAGCCAGGCCTTCTTGCAATGCTAAAATGATAGTTCTGACAGTCATGGGTGAACAACATCTCTAATGGCCAGTCTTTCCCAGCCATAGTTTCAACGTAGGGGGTTGTCAGTTTTTCAAGGTCTTGTTTCTCTTTCTGGGGCCCCCTCTTCCTGGCCTCCTCTGTCCATAAAGTGAATTGCTTTCCCACAGTGCCTCTCAAGCTGTCTGATGTGGCAGAGCAGCAATTTTGATCATGTTTCTGTAGTTTCCTGGGAGCTCTCTGTGGACCGGCAACTGATGGTTCATGGGTCTGCATACCATCACTTTGAGCAGTAGCAGTCCTTAACTATGCTAAGCAGGTTCTGATTTGTAATGCTTTTGCTGCTTTGGAAGGTGCCTCTCAGAATACAGGAAGAATACAGACCATTCTATCTTGTTAAGTGATGAAGAAATATCACCATTGATATCTGGCTGTGGAACCAAAACATGTGGGACTGAACCAAGTGGTCCATGATAAAAAAGATCTCAGCCTAAAATCCAGGAGAACCACTGCCAGCCAAAGAGCAGTTGACAGCGGGCTGGAGGAACTCATGCTTTGCTCTGGCCCCTTCCACACAACTGAATAAAGTCTCACATTATCTGCATTGAACTGGGATATATGGCAGTGTGGACTCCGATAACCCAGTTCTAAGCAGATATTGTAGGATTTTATGCCTTAATATTCTGGGTTATACGGCTGTGTGGAAAGACCCTTAGTAAGAGGCAGCTTCCTGAAATAGATGAGCTTCTAATCCAGCTGTATTCTTGGGTTTGTGATCCTGACTGAATGCTTTTCTTTTATCTATGTGTTTATTACTACATAATAATAATAATAATAATAATAATAATAACAACTCTTCATTTCTCTTCCACGTTTCTTCCATGAAGGGACACAAAGTGGCTTCCACCATATTAAATACAGTACAAATCAAACCTGTCCTTTTCCTAAAATTGCTCAAGATGCTGTATGTGCTTTTCCCTATCTATCATATTTGTAATACACCCTGTGAGTTATATTAATCGATGGCCCCCAACTACACAAAGAATTTAATTGAGTTTCAAAATGGTATTTGGCAGATGATTGCATAGGAGGCCTGGATGGTAATGACACAACCCACAGAGCACAGATGCATATTAAGGGCTTTCTTTTGCACACTTCTCTTGAAGTTTGCTGTCTGCCCACCACAGTTTGAAGCTAGCTTTGAACTACAGTAAATGATCAGTGTAGATGGAGCCTGAGTGTCTGCCTGTGGCTTGAGCTAAACCACCCTATATCTGAGGATTTGATCCCAAATTATCTGTTTATCCCAGATTATCTGGCAGTGTAGACCCAGAACATTTCTACACTTCCATATAATCCAGATTATAAAGACAGATAATCCACAATGTCTGCTTTGAACTGGATTATATGAGTCTACACTGCCAGTTCAAAGCAGATAATCTGGATCTTATATGGCAGTGTAGAAGGGCCTCATATAATCCAGTTCAAAGTAGATAACCTGGGATCAGATCCTGGGATATAGGGCAATAGATCCTGCCTTTGTGACTGGCTACTGAACTTAAT